AAGATTATACAGGACAGAAAAATAAATAAGGTAAATATTACAAAGGCAAATAAATAAAGAAGCTAATTAAGAGTTATATACATTTATGTCTCACTTTTAAAAAATAAAGTTGAAGATTATACAGGACAGAAAAATAAATAAGGTAAATATTACAAAGGCAAATAAATAAAGAAGCTAATTAAGAGTTATATACATTTATGTCTCACTTTTTTGTTGGCAATTAATTGTATGCTTATACATTTATTGAGCATTTATTTATTTCTGTATTTATTTTTAAATATGGCAGAGTTAGTCCTTCATACAGCCTAAGTTTATACATATATGTAAATAAAAACCTGTGTTAAAACTTGAAATGGGATGTTTACAGATGTCCTACTTTCAGACTGAAAGAGCTCGAGATCCCTTACAAGTGGGGATATAAAAGATTTAGTCTGTAGATGGGCAAAGCTGTTGGAGATATGCCCCAAAGGATACGCTGCTCAAACCGAAGTGGTTTAGTACTTTCTGCACGCTATGGTGAATACAAATCCATCCTTTCAAACCATATTCCATTTCTTTCCTCTTTACAAATATACAACGTGCTGGTCTTTTAAAATAAACGCATGTGGATGTAATTGTTGGAACCCCTTCTTTGCTGAAAGAAAATCAATAATCTCCGAACAGCCTGATGTTCCTGTGACTACAGACGCACGTATTGAAAAATTTAGGATTCATGTGACGTTAGCCAACCTCCCTGTTCCTGGCCATAGGAGGAAAATTGATGAAAAACCAAAGAGACGGATATTATTGGTAGCTGAAAAAGCCTAGGTAAACTTCTAAAGGTGAACTTGATGGAAGATGACGAAGGACGCCAAGGTTGAAAACAAATCATATCAATCAACTACATATTGACATGCCACAAAGCTTCTGGGAGAATGTCCTATGGACAGATAGGACAAACATAGAACTTTTTGCAAAGGCGTCAACTCGATGTTACATATTAAAAAAAAGAAGAATTAAAGAAAAGAATACTGTCCCTACTGTTGAACATAGAGGAGGCTCTTATGTTCTGGGGTTGCTTTGCTTCATCTGTATGTAGGGTACGATGAAATGTAAAATCTATCAAGGGATTCTAGAGAGAAACGTTCTGCTCAGTGTCAGAGAGCTTGGTCTCAGTTGCAGGTCATGGATGTTGCAGCAGGAAATGACCTAAAAAACACTGGTAAAAATGCCCATGAATGGCTAAGAAGAAAAGTGGCCTTCATCCATTGACCTAAATCCAATGGAGCATCTTTGGAAGCAGCTGAAGCATGCCGTTTGAAAAAGGCATCCTTCAAACCTGAGACAATTGGAGCAGTTTGTTCATGAGGAGTGGGACCTGCTGAGAGAAGCAGAAGTTTTATTGACTGTTACAGGAATGGATTGATTGCAATGATTGCCTGTAAGGTTTAAAGGTTGAACAACAAAATGTAAGGTTAAGGGTATAATCATCTTTATCCAGGCCTGTTTAATTAGTTTATGTTTTAAATTAATTCTGTTGAAGCCTGGTTGAAAACCAATGTCTGACTTTTGTTTCTTTTTAATTAATTTTTATCATCACTTCAGATTCAAGTTATTTCTGTGACCATTGTGGGTTTTCCTTTCATTAAATGAGGGGCACCAACAATACTGTCTACATGTGTAATTCCACCAAATTATATCGTAGTTCTAATTAAACAAAATAAAAAACATTGTTTAAGGGGTTTTAGTACTTTTGCAAAGCACTGTCGCCTTACACCATTTTTTTTGCATTTTTATGGCATTAGTGGCTAATTTTTATGGGCAGTAGGCTGACAGGAAAGGTGGTATGAGACAGGGGGAGAGACATGGAGCAAAGGATGGATTTGAACCCTGGTCGGCCTCCGTACATGGGTCGTGTGCCACTGCGCCACTGAAGCACGCCCATTTGTACACATTTTCTAATTGGCAAATAGAAACTTATGAGGAAAAAGTCAGCATTTCATCACAGAGATATTTAAACTGTCATTTTAAATATGTTTCATTCAGTTTATTTATATAAGCATCAATTTACAGCACATGATCTCCAGAGACAATTCAATCAAATCATACGCCAGGGTGGTTAAACGTTTTCCCTCTTAGTAACCTCAGTGGATTGCATCAAGTCACCAACTGATTTTTATTTTTTTAACTTACCAACTGCATTTCTGTCTTTGCTTTAATTGCTCTCTGATTTCCTCTAGGACACTGACATGCTGTATGAGCCCACAAACACACCTGCTATGGCCCGCACCTCCAACCTGAATGAAGAATTAGGCCAGGTAATATTTTAAATAGATTTATCCTATAGATGCATCTTAGAGTTTCTTTCACTTTATTTTTAAATAAACTGTGCACCTTTAAGTTGTTCTTCTACCCATACAGGTGAAATACATCTTCTCTGACAAGACAGGAACGCTGACCTGTAATGTAATGCAGTTTAAGAAGTGCACAGTCGCCGGTGTGGCCTATGGGTACGTCCTTCTTTCTTGCCAATGTCCCATAAGTCAGCCTTCCCTGTTGCCTTTATTAAATGCTGGGTATGCATCGCTCTGCATCTGCTGTCTCTTTCTCACCTTCTCATTAGCACCTGCATCAGTTCTCCTCTCGCTCTGAATGTTAACTATAAATAAAACCTAGACAGAAATCTGCAAGCTAAGATTCTTTACACCATCCTCTTTGCAGAAATTTGATGTTTGCTAAACTTCATTTTTTGTTTGGAATGTACTTCATCATCTTTGACACACTGGCATAAAGGCTGATTATTTTTATATAGATATATATCTCTAGGCATATGCTAACATTTCATCAAATAAGTTAATTTTTTTTCCTACTCTGGATTGCTTTTCAGTGATGCAAAACAAGTGAGGAGAGAAGCAAAGTGAGCGCAGGCGTGACTGTAGATGATTAATCCCATTAGGGTTTCATTAAAAGCAGTGATTGATGAAGTTTGCACTAAAGGACAAAATGCATTATCTTATCTTTGCTCTGCTGCTATTAGATTTTGATTGCAATCACTGTTAAGACACAGCTGGATTAACAATATCGGTTCAAGGAATTTAAGTAGTAAAAATTCATATTGATGTTGATGACATGCTGCCCCAAAATATTTTTGTTCAAATCTGTCTCCTATTTTTAGGGATTAAAAAAAAAATATATTTTTTATCAGACCTGCTGCTCCAACAGTGATGAAGACCTTTTCCTTTAAAGTGTAACTTAAGGCAACAAATGCATCGATTACAATTTAGCAAAGAGTGTCTTTTCCAGCTGGCACCATTTTTATAGGAAGGGAGCTGCTGGAAAACAGATTTTCAATTTTATTCCCAAAAAAGAACAGAGAGATTATGGAGTTTATTTGTTTCACTGTTGTTAGAAATTACAGGTTTTAGCTCAGCTGTGGTGTCTAAAACATCAGCTTCTATTTTCTGTGGCTTTGTGTGGCAAACAGGTCTTCACCTTAACTCAGGCAGGCTGCTAATGATTCCTACGGCAGCATTGCTGCTTGGATTCAAATGCTCAGTAGGATCAAACTTTGTTGACATAACTTCAGGCTTATTATTAGCTGCTGAAAGTTTCAGCCTCTCACACGCTGGCTAAGTGGACTGCATACCTATCTGCATTGGTGACATGACATTAAAGGTCTTGTTGCAGAGTTATTTTTAAAATATGATGATTTCAACCCCACATTGTCAGGACAGTCTTTTCCTTACTTTTTTGTCAAATCTCTGAAATGTGTATCTCTTGTAATACGTGTTTGAGGATCAGGGAAAATAACTGCTGGTCTTTAATACTTTTTATGTTCTTAATTTAAGCTCCCAAAAAATGAATGTAAAAAATGTAAATGTAAAACCCTTTATTGTCCAACAATGGGGAAATTCACTCTCTGCATTTAACCCATCCCCTTGGGGAGCAGTGGGCTGCCATTGTGCGGCGCCCGGGGAGCAGTGTGGGATTAAGGGTCTTGCTCAAGGATCCAGGTTGCAAGTTGTGGGGATCTAACCTTGCAACCTTTTCAGAGCACAAACGCACTACTCTAACCTACTAGGCCAACACTCCCACTAATATGTAAAAGAAAATGTGAAATATTCTTCAGCATTTCCTTTTAATATTAAACACCCTTTATAAACAATTTAGTAGATTTTTTTTAAACAAGGTCAATTTTAAAATTGTGATTTCTAATTTTTGATGATTTTAGCACACTAGAGAGCATATTTTTGGGATTAAGCTCACAGTTGCTCCAACGCTGTTTAAAAATTGGTAATGATTAAGGAATGCATGGATAAAAAAATGCATATTTAATAAAAAACTTAAAGTGAAGTGCTTTTAATGAGTAGCGTGACTTGTAATTTTTTGTCTGAGCCCATGCAGACATCCCAACCCCCACCAGAAATGAAGTAGTGCTGTAATTAATAAAGCCATGCCCAAGGGTTTAGACATTAATTAATTCCACTGGATTGGAGTTAAAATATGAAGGGAAAAATGATGGTAGTTTGAACAAGAATGTCTCTCTCAACCCTCTGGGCTGTCTGAAGTGAAGCAGAAGCATATATTGAGTTACATTTTAATTCAAACATAAATTTGTTGGTATTATATCTTGTTTGTCTCTTAAGCCCCCTACATATTAGTGGGGACATGTGTTAGTGGACGTCTGCGTGGAGTCTGTACAGCCTTAAGGCAGACTCAATGCAGATGGGTACCTGTTGAGGGTAATGGGAAATTTTTATGAATATTTCTTACCTTTTCTTCTAAGAACTGGTGTCAATTCAGACTGTTCTAATGGTGCATCCAGCTGATAAGGCTCCTCATGTGATAGCTAGTGGAACAAACTGCTCAGAGCGGCCAGTCCAAAGGTCCCACAGCATCACTCTGTCCACCACAGTGACAGGGATGCAGAGAAGGTGGACATCCAGGCCCCCTGTACCGGACACGCACTGAGACGGTGTAGAGTTGTTGTTTTTTTTCAGCCACCCTACTTCTTCCTATGTCAAAATTTATATTTTTTATATTTTGTTTTGATTTTAAAAAGCTTAATCTCAGCAGCACTCCCTCTCTCTATATCACAGTGTCCCTGATTGGTTGATTTGACAAAAGTTGACAGAAAGGTTCAGCAGAATTCACTTCTCGTACACCAAGGATTTAGCATTGCTAGAAATGCATCCTTCATCACGTTGCCTTTGAGGGTGCCTCTGCATAAGGGTAACAACAAGAGTGTCAACAAGGTGATAGCTTTAAGGAGCT